AAAAAAACCTCTCCTTTGCAATGGCCATGGTGCCATCCAGCCCCCCCCCCCCCCACTAGACTTCAGTGTCACCATTCACAGCCCCTCCTCAACGGCTGTGGTGCGGCTGTCCAGCGCTCTGCCAGTCACTATCACCCTGGTGCAACCTCGCAGTGGCCACTGGATCCCAGACCTTGACACCCCCTGCACACCTGGAAACTGGCTGTGGCACCCCAGGGCCCCGCTTGCTACAGAGCCCACCCCCAAAAGCCCACCAGACAAGTCTGAGACCCACCAGGCCCCCACTCCTACAGCCTCATCATCTCACTTAGGCTTGAGGCTCCCATTCCCCCCAAATGGCCCCAGTATCCCTCCACTGTTCTCCTTCCTACATGCTCCCCTTCACTACAGCCCCCCCAACCTCCAGTCTCCCCTCCCCCTATTCCTCCCTCGTCCCACACCCCCAGGGTGTCCCCTCATCTTCTCCCCCCCCGCATGCCCCAGGATTACACCTTGAGCATCGCCCCCACCCCCAAAGGCCGGGCCTTCTGTCCACAGCCTCCCCTGTGTCAGAACCAGACAGGGAGGGGAGCCGGAGCCATTTCCAGTGCTTCAGACACTGCCCCCCCAATCCCTGGGGGTAGCAACAAGCTCCCCCCATCCCAACTTACCAGCCTCGGCCTGGGTCTCCAGGGGGGCCACCACCAGCAAGCACAGAACGAGGGCGAACGCTGCTTCCGACGGCCCCTGTCTCCCTTCATGCCTGGGACAGGTACTCCTCATTTAACGTCATCCGGGTTAACGTGGTTTCGTTATGTTGCTGATCAGTTAGAGAACATGCTCGTTTAGAATTGCACAATGCTCCCTTGTGACTGTCTGGCAGCTGCCTGCTTTGTCCACTGCTTGCAGGAAGAGCAGCCCGTTGGAGCTAGTGGTGGGGGCTTGGAACCAGGGTGGGCCGGCAGCCCCCACATCAACTCCCTTAAGTTCCCTGTGCGGCAGCCGCCCAGCAGGCTATCAAGTGCCTGGCAGTTCAGGTGTCCCTGCCCCCACTGCCTTGGAGCTGCTCCCAGGAGCCTTCAGCCTGCTGTGTACTTAAGAGTGGGGTCAGTGTACTTAAAGGGGCAATGCGCATCTCTCTACACATATACACTCTCTGTGTCTGTCTCCGCCATGCTGTGTCTACTCCCTCTATTCGTGCTGCCTTGTAGAATGTGGTTACATTCAACGTGTTAATCCTTGAGGGCTCACCCCAGTGCTAGTTCATCATTTAATTGTTTGTTTAAAACTTTTACTGTGTGTGTGTGTATATATAAGTCTTATCTGGAAAAAAAAATTCCCTGGAACCTACCCCTCCCCCGCAATTTACATTAATTCTTATGGGGAAATTGGATTTGCTTAACATTTCACTTAAAGTAGCATTCTTCAGGAACAGAACTACAACGTTAGGTGAGGAGTTACTGTAGTTTGTTCCTCACACTCCTCCTCGGTCTTTCCTATGAGCCGCGCTCCCTCGCTGGACGCCAACTCCACCAGGCAGCCCCTCCGCCTGCGAGTGGGAGAGGCTGTCTGAGCAGGGCACCCCAGGCCCAGAGCGGGTGGTCACCAGAGAACTACAACTCCTCTGAGGCCCTGCGGCAAAAGGGAGCTGGTGCGGAGGGTTGTGGGGGGGCGAGGACAAGCTTTATCATAAACTATAGTTTTACGACAGCCCTCCTCTTCTCCCCCCTTCTCCCCGCTGTTCCTGTACCCTCATGGCCACCCAGCACCCCCTTTCAACAGCCCTGAGCCCAGTACCACCAAGCCCTGGTCCATATAGTCCCCAGCACAGGCCCCCACCCGGCATCCTCCCCTCACTAGCCAGCCACCCCCCCCCCTGCAACAACCCTGCTTCCCCCCCCCCCCACCCAACTCTCTCCCCCCAGCAGAAACCCAGGAACTCCCTTACTGTGACAACCCCGGGATCACCCCCCCCACCCCTTGCAGAGTATCTCCTCCCCCCCCCACCCCCCCCACAGCAACAGGCTCATTTAAACCCCTCTCACTGTGGAGCCCCCTCCTTAAAATCCCTGCAGTGGGGAACATTTACATCAATAACAATAAAAAGAGCTTAAAAACAAACATTGGTGTTGAGCCCCTTTAACCTCAGCCGGACACTGCTGGGCTACTGAATCCAAATCAATGAAGAGCATCTAAACCCCGATGCTAATAGCTCAGCAGCCCCCATCTCTGTGTCGGCTTGTACAGAACTCGGCTTGTTGTGAGTCTCTAACTCAGTGATACTCAGAGCTCAGTGATTCTGGAGCCCAATTAGCCACCAGCATCACCCGAAAGAGCCACAGGCGTGTGAATGGCCGTTTAGTTTATAATTATTCTCACAGCAAATAAGTTAACTTAATTGGTTAATAACATAATACAAGCATCCTGATTGGTTAATGATTAACTCAGTGTTTTAATATGTGCTGCAGAGAGTCACAGGAGACACATTAAAGAGCCACTTGCAGCTTGTGCCTCAGTCTGAGTTATCACCGCTCTAATGTATTATAATATTTCTAAATGTGCTCTAATGCGCTATGTAAAATCAAGTCTTTATGGGGTTAGTTTGGGGTTCAAGGCCATTTAACTAATCCACTTTAAAGTCACACCTTTTGCTAATCAAAACTAATTTTGCTGAGTGTCTCCCTGTAGGCAAGCCCTGAATTCTACACTCTGATCCTTCTCTTCTCTTCGCCCCCTACACTGGGTTTATGATACAGAAAGGGCAGGAGGCCAGAGGCCAGGCAGTGTCTGCAGCAGGCCCATCCGTGCAGTGGTGCCCAATCCCTTTTTATAGTGGGGGTACTGAAAGCATGCTAACGAAACTGTAACCATGTGTGTTCAAAAGTAATGTTAAAAAGCGCAATTCCTGCTCACACCACACGGGTGCAGCACAGCTCGGGATTCTCAAGAATCATGTCATAATGCTAGTTTCGTTCTAACGGTACCTGGGACTTTTCACCCTCTGCACCCCCAGTTCCCAGAACTATGCTTCTATTCAGGGCACTTGTTATGCCACGAGGCGGTGCAGGGAGACTGTACAGGAGACCCAAGCCCACACCCCTAGCACTGCAGCTCCAGGGCTGTGTTCTGGATTCACTTTTTGCTCTCTGATAAAACTGCCCCAGGCTCCTCTGTCCAACCAATATTCGTCCGGGCTCCCCGGCGCGGTTAGTATCTGTACCGAGCTTTCCCCAGACCTGCCACAGGAGAGCTGGGCACTCGCCTGCTCTAGGAGAGCCAGGCAGGCCCTGAGCGGGGCTGCAAAGTGCATTAAAAGTTGACCTCAGGACAGTGGGGCTAGAACAATATCTACAGTGTGGGGGCTGAGAGCCATTGGAAGAGCCAGTTGTAAATCCTGTATAGAACAGAAACCTCTTCAAGCCAGGGGCTGCTGCAGCTCCCCCAGTTCCAGCCCCCCCGCCTGACACACACACAGCCCCTGCATCTGCCCCCCCCCCCCAGCATGTCCTGGCTCTGGGAGTGAGTCAGTTTCCGTGGACCGACTCCCCCATGTGTCTCTTCTCTCCCCCAGCTCCCCCCGCCCCATTTCCCCCGCCCCCCGGCTGGGTCTCCGCCAGCCGCCTTCTCCCGACCCCAAATACCCCCCCATGTCTCTGGGGCCGGGTCTCCCCCCCTCAGACCCGCGCCCCCCTTGCCCCGGCCCGGGGGTAACAGACACTCACCGGCCTGCGCTGCGGCGTGGGGGAAAGAGATGGGAGAAGAGGGACAACGTGCACTGTCTGCGATGGGGCGGGGCCGCAACATGCAAATTTCGTTCAGTCGCGGCCTGGGATTGGGTGACAGGCCCTTCTGGGGGGGCGGGGTGGGGCTGGCCGGGCCCCGGGGTTGGGCGAGGATGGGGCAACTGCTACCTTTAACTTCTGCTGAGCTCTGAATGACAGAAGAAATCGAGTTTTAACACTGAACCGGAACCGGTCACAGTGTGTGGTTTTGCTGAGGGGCAGGTTACACCGGCTCCAGCTGTTTTGCCGCAGGTCGGCGGCGGGTCCTTCGCTCGAGGGACTGAGGGACGAGCCGCCCTTTCCCTTGGCCCCTTCGCTGGTGCCTGGAGCCGGGCTGGCGAGCGGCGTCTGTCCCAGGGACATAATATCAACCCGACCCCCCCCCCCCGTGCTGGTCTCTTCACCTTCTAATGATCGGTTATGGGTGGAAAGTGCTCTCAGCTGTAACCCCTTCCCCCAAGTTACTGACTATGGATCTAAAATCCCTGCGAGTCAGCTGTGCTCTCCAGTGATCAACCATTGCTCCAAATCCCCTCCGCTGCTGACACGTCTGTCATATGTTCAGATATTGACCTGAAATCCCTCCGATTCCGTCCCTGTTTTGTCTAATGATCAAATATTGATCAAAAGGCTCCTCAGATGTTGACACGTCTCAAATGATCAAACATTTCTCTAAAATCCCTTCAGCTGTCGACACTCATCTATTTTTGAATATTGATCTCAAATCCATGCTGATTTTGCCTCCTTTCCCCTCTAATTCTCAAATACAGATGAAAATATCCCCTCGGTCTGGGGGTCTCCCCCCATGACAGATGATGTGGTGGGGGTTAAACCCCCTATGAATAACTGTCACTTCAGATTAAATGTCTTTTCTCTCCAATGGTCAATTATTGATAAAATATCCATTCAGATTTGGCCTCTTTTCCCTCTGATTTTCAAATACGGGTTGCAAACTCCTTCAGATTTTAAGAGCATAAAAACAGCCATATTGGGTCAGACCAATGGTCCATCTAACCCAGTATCCCGTCTTCCGACAGAGGCCAGTATGAAGGCTTCATTTTAACAGCATTGCTTGTCCCCTTTCCCTTTAGCTGTAGAGTCTTTTTATAAAGAACCGACCCCCCCCTTTGACAGTCTTTATATGATATTAAACAAGCTAATAACTACCCTCTTTTGGGAGAACGACAGGAAAGGTTAGTTGAGAGAGCCTGGAGTTACTGCTAAAGTCTGAGCGGCTCCTTCCTAAAAGACAAAACAATAAAACACACACAAGGTAAAAATAAAGAACAGCAAGGAGAGAAAATGCAGCTTTTGTCTTTGGTGTTACCTCTCACATGTGACCTCTGCTGGAGAAACACAGACATGGGTCTTATTAGCCACTCCAAGACCTGGTAAATTTGAACCAGCGTTGGGCTGGGATCGGGCACTGATTTTAGCTGCCTCTTTCTTGTCACAGGTTTACAGCCGTGTTGCAAAAGACACGGTTTTCGCTGGCTAAGGCAGACTCCCTATTAACAGAAGGCAAAAGAAGAGGGACAGGAAAGAAAAGAAGTAAGGTGGGGAAGTAAAAGGACACACATGGAGGTGGGGAGACCAAGTCTCGCATTGCAGTTTAGGAATTAGCCGGAGACGGTACATGTAGCCATGTCATCTTGGACCCTCTCTCCGGCCCACTGGTCTGGACATCGCTCAGGAACAGAACAGCAAAAGCCCAATGAGGTTCTGGTGGATCCCCAGGGTCTCAGGAGACGGTGTGATGGTGAAACTTGCTCCTTACTGTTCTCCTGTCTTTGTCAGCCAACGTTGCTGTTGTATTTCCTCCTAAAGTCTTTTTTTTTAAGGAGCCCAAAAGGGAAGGGTGGGGAGCATATCTCATCTCATTATTATTTTGTCCACTAGTTAGGTCCAATGAACTAGGGTTACCATATTTTCATTGTAAAAAAGGAGGACACTCCAGGGGCCCCCGGCTCCGCCCCTTCCCCAAAGTCCCCGCCCCAACTCTGCCCCCTCCCCTGAATGCTCCGCCCCCTGCTCCTCCCCCCCCTTGCTTCCTGCGAATCAAATGTTCGCGGGAAGCCTGAAACAAAGAGGCAGCAGGTAAGCTGGGGCTGGGGCGGGGCGGGGCGGCCCAGGCCAAGAGGCTCTGG